AAGATAGATTTGCTGTATTTTAAAACAAGTGACTCATGCCCAGTTCGCAGAGAAGATAGATTTGCTGTATTTTTAAAACAAGTAACTCGTGAGTCGTGCCCAGTTTGCAGAGAAGATAGATTTGCTGTATTTTAAAACAAGTTACCCGTGCCCAGTTCGCAGAGAAGATAGATATGCTGTATTTTAAAACAAGTGACTCGTGCCCAGTTTGCAGAGAAGATAGATTTGCTGTATTTTAAAACAAGTTACTCGTGCCCAGTTCGCAGAGAAGATAGATTTGCTGTATTTTAAAACAAGTAACTCGTGAGTCGTGCCCAGTTTGCAGAGAAGATAGATTTGCTGTATTTTAAAACAAGTTACCCGTGCCCAGTTCGCAGAGAAGATAGATATGCTGTATTTTAAAACAAGTGACTCGTGCCCAGTTTGCAGAGAAGATAGATTTGCTGTATTTTAAAACAAGTTACTCGTGCCCACTCCGAGAAGATAGATTTGCTGTATTTTAAAACAAGTAACTCGTGCCCAGTTCGTAGAGAAAATAGATTTACTGTAGTTGTCAGTTTACGGACAAATAAAGTCGAAAAGCATTAATCAAAATATGTTTTAGGCTGTCCCAAAATTTCGGATTCTTTTTCTGGAGTTTGGAATTGGCGGGAATTTTAAAACTCTCGTTGTGTTACCAAACCAATATTTTCAGCGCAGAGTTTTAGCGCGCGCCGAGAGCACACGCGTATTTTTGCATTGAAGTCGCGCGTTATTTGCACGTGCACTTCTACAGATTAAAATTAGGAGAGGGCCCTTACTGCTTACATTACTAAGTTGTTATGTAGTAATATTGTGAATTTGTCCGAAACTGGAAACAAATCTTGTAAAATTTTACGAATAGAAGTTATAGTATTACTTGACTGTAAAAATTTACTGAGTTTCACTTCCATATTTCAGGATCCGACTGCTGATATTAAAATTGAAGAGTTAGATTTCATTGGAACATGGAATTACTGTAATGGAAAATAAAACAGGTCTTGCTGAGGATGAAGAAATGTTATGTGGGGAGAAAATGGGCTACTGGAAGTGGACCTTCTTAAACAAAGACGACTTTCACAAAATGTTTAAAAGATCACAGTCGCTGCATCGAACCCTGGACGCTTCCCCTGCCACGGTCAGACACTCGAGATTAGTATTAGTAGTGTGCGCTACTCGAGCTGTTGATATATGAGTTCTTCGGTGTTATTTATATAATTGTAATATGTAATGACTGACAGTGTGAGATATCTTTTTTTGTTTCTATTTGATGTGTTTAGTGTTTGTGTTGCATTCTAATATAAACCGCGTATTAGTTTCGTGTCAATTTTAAATTTGATAAGTTTATCTTTAAACTGTATTTATTAGCAGTAATAGTTACATTTTGGTATTATACCTATATTTATTATTGTAATACTGTTGTATAATGCTGTTTCTTCCTCATTGTAGCTTACATATAGGATAGCATACTTTGCTCTGATCTTTAATCACAGTTGACAATACTTGATTAGGGTTAATGATTGTACGCGTTTGAAATCTTGATTTGATATCATTATAACCTTTACTAATGTTCAGATGAATGAATTTGATGTTTTATTTTTCCACGGCACTATTGAAAATCCTTTAAGGGATAGAATCGGCACTGTCAAATATCTTTAAAAGGTTCGTAAACGGAATTACAGTCGATCTCCTGACAAATTTATGTCGAAAATTTATTTTAACACGCGCAGCAATATGAAGCCCGCGGCGTTCGCCGGGGTGATATAGAATACATGGCTATGTGAACCAGCGGAGCGCGCTACTTTTAAAAGAAGTTTTTAATTAAAAGAAATTTATACAAAGTGAGTATCATTTGTTTAAAAGGGAATAATACGCCATTAAATACACTTAAACCTGTCATGACGTCATGTACGGCACATTTTGCACTTATGAGAAAAGCACAGCAAAGAATAAAATGTATGAATAAAAAGTAACTAACATATAGGCAAAGTGCCGCGCCGTCCGTAAAAAGTTATCGAAACGCTGAAAATTGTTTTTGTTCTTTAAAAAATACAAAGGGGGGTTTAGAGGACTTCGACGCTTCGACGCGCCGCGCAAACTAGCATTCTTGCTTCGCATCGAATCTGTCGTCGATCGTTGTTCTGCTTCGCAGAGCAACGATCTCGACGGATTGACATCGTCAATCAAAAGGGGGGTTTGATTAATTATCAAAGAATAACGTCGGGAATTAATAAATGTAAGGTGATGATTTTGCAGGCCCTACAGTGAGTTATGAGTGTTTGTGTGTGTGTGTGTGTGTGTGTGTGTGTGTGTGTGTGTGTGTGTGTGTGTGTGTGTGTGTGTGTGTGTGTGTGTGTGTGTGTGTGTGTGTGTGTGTGTGTGTGTGTGTGTGTGTGTGTGTGTGTGTGTGTGTGTGTGTGTGTGTGTGTGTGTGTGTGTGTGTGTGTGTGTGTGTGTGTGTGTGTGTGTGTGTGTGTGTGTGTGTGTGTGTGTGTGTGTGTGTGTGTGTGTGTGTGTGTGTGTGTGTGTGTGTGTGTATGGTTGTGTGTACAGCAGGTCTTTCCTAAAGTTTTGTCTTTCTTTGGTAGTGACATCTTTCAATGTAGAGGTTGTGGCAGCTGACACGAAACCTTGTTAAACATCAGGGACTTTGATCGCTCTTCTGGTTCAAAATCGTACCTAATTATATGATAGAATTCTAATTTTGGTGTCAATACCTGAATAATTTATTTCGTTCACCATGAAAATTGTATATAAATTGTTGTTAAACACATAATACGTATAGGGGCCATCTACTAGGGACATCCGGCGAATAGGGAGGGGTGGTTTCTGAAAATCCGGACGTCCGGAAATTTTGGCAGAATTAATGAAAAATTCTCATTTATTTCAACTGTTTGACACTAATTACTCTGTAAGTTTAGATCCCTGTATTTTGAACGAGAAGTCGATAAAGTAAAATTATTCAAACAATATACACATAATTGTCACAATGACCCTATATAAAAACAACCCTTCAAAAAATCAATATATAATTTTAATAAATTGTTTCAAACAGTGAACACATAATGTCACAATGACCCTATATAAAAAAAACGAGAAGTCGATTCCCAGAGCAGCTCATGAGAGTGGCTTTAAAAATTTGGACAGGGGGAGGGGGTTGGTCTGAAAATCTGAGATTTTGGCGGACATCCTAAGTAAATATCGTTTAAATTAAAATTAAGATTCGCTTTCTCTATCATTTTTAACTATGAGCACTTAAAACTTCAATTTACAATAACATTATTGCAGGATAATTGACTATGCCAGAGCTTAGTAACATATCACCAGCTGCTGCTGAAGAAACGTTTTATCAGAATTTTGACAATTTAACTCAGATAAATCAGGAGTATAAAACGGAACAGGATTTAGACAAGCCAACCCTGATAAAACAGGAGGTTAAAACTGAGCAGGATTTTGACGATTTAATCTTGATAAAACAGGAGATTAAAACTGAGCAGGATTATGATAATTTAACTCTGATACCTAATCTGGCGATTAATACTGAGCGTAATGAACTGGAAGGAAATAGTTTCATTTGCCCGAAATGTGATACCTATTTCCTGAATGACTATTGCTTTGTTGAGCATGTAAAAGAACACCATCAAGAAACGATCAGTTCAAATCCAAATTCTAATGAATTGATAAGTGCTGAACCATTATCAGAGAGAATGTTTAGTCATTCAAAATTCAATTCTAAACTTCTTGCACATGAGCGTCGCGTATTCATACCGGAGATAAACCTTTCAAGTGTAATAAATGCTCCTCATGTTTCACTGGGAAATCTACTCTCAAAATACATCAGAATATTCACACAGGAGGTAAACCTTTCAAGTGTAATGATTGCTCCTCATCTTTTACTCAGAAATATAATCTTAAAACACATCAGCGTATTCACACTGGAGAAAAACCTTTCAAGTGTAATGAATGCTCCTCATCTTTCTCTCATAAATCTAATCTCAAAGTACATCAGCGTATTCACACTGGAGAAAAACCTTTCAAGTGTAATGAATGTCCCTCATCTTTCTCTACGAAATATAATCTCAAATCACACCAGGGTATTCACACAGGAAAGAAACATTTCAAGTGTAATGAATGCCCCTCATCTTTCCAGGACAAATCTTCTCTCAAATCACACCAGGGTATTCACACAGGAGGTAAACCTTTCAAGTGTAATGAATGCTCCTCATCTTTTACTCAGAAATATAATCTTAAAACACATCAGCGTATTCACACTGGAGAGAAACCTTTCAAGTGTAATGAATGCCCCTCATCTTTCTCTACGAAATATAATCTCAAATCACACCAGTGTATTCACACAGGAGATAAACCTTTCAAGTGCAATGAATGCCCCTCATCTTTCCAGAACAAATCTTCTCTCAAAACACATCAGGGCATTCACACAGTCCGAGAGATATCTTTCAAGTGTAATGAATAATCATTATCTGTCACTGATGAATCTACTCCCAAAAGAGATCAACGTATTTACAATGGAGATAAACTTTTAAAGTTAATTGAAATGCTTGTTATCTTTCTCTCAAAGTTTCGTGCTGAGATTCTTAATACAGATTTTGGAGCATCATAGCACATAAAAAAGCCAAGGGGAGTTATTTATAGAAGTCACTTTATTGCCTTTTTTGAAAAACCCAATTATTATTTTCTGTTGAGGTCGAGCCTGTTTTTTTCAAGTTCTTCATTTCAAATAAAAATTTGTATGGTTTCTTAAAATTTGTATGGTTGTATGTTGTTTACAATAAAAGATATTTTAATCATTTTTTTGCCTTATAATGAGTTATACTTTTGTTCACATTTACACATTTGCTCACCTCACTCATAGTCAGCCGCTCTGTCATGGTTAACCACCTTTCTTGTTATGTTGGTTAATCATATGAGCGGGATATAAATACCTCATTTCATTTCAGCATTCTAATTTTCACTATAATTGTAGAGATTTGTTATGGATCCTATAGAGCAACCTGCCTTAAAAACGGTGCCAACCGCTTTGTTAAGGAAAAGAAGACAGCTTAACAAGGAGCGTGTGGCAAAAGCCATCGAGAAAAAGATTCAGGAGAAGGTATATCTTTCGTTTTTTAAAGATTTTATTTTATTTTGACCATTTAGTATAGTATGGAAAAGTATAGTAATATGGCACTAGTATAGTATTATAGATTACAGTACACTACTTTATTTGCTTTTATATAAATCTGCTGTTGATTCAAATGATTTAATAAATATCTGTTGATCAATTTAAAGTAACTCTCCTTAGTAATACAAATATTAATTCAAAACGAATGTTATTTGAACTAATTGATTAACATTGAATTTTTCAGAAACGTGTAGGGAAAGCTAAAGCACCATTCAAACGTGCTGAGTACTTTGTTAATGAGAGCTACAGAACTGGAATGAACGATAAACGGATAACAAGACTGAAACATCAGGTAGTTTATTACAAAAATAAAATAGAAGGTGATTGATGTTCCCATGTTGGGTTGGCTCTGTTAATCTTGTCACATATTTAATTAAAATATGAAACCATGCGTTTAGCATCACTGACTTGCAGGTTGTGAAAGTTCCAGAAACAGTCAAAATCTTGTTCATCATGAGAATGGCAAACATCGCCGGCCCGATGCCCCAGAAAGTTAGAAAAATCCTCCAGGTAATTTGTGATGAGTTTTGTGATGGTTCCAATATATTTAGTAGTGGAACAGCAATACTAAGGTAATGGGACTACTGCGGACCCTCTACCGGCCAAACCTTGTTAACAAAGCCGCAGTCAAGGTTCGGTGAACGGTAGTTAAAAGCGCTTAAGGGACATAAGTCAAATTGATTATACTAAAGAAATAATCCCGATAACACTCAACCTCTGCCTGATCCAGAGGATATCACCATTTTACCTTCACACAGACATCGAACGCTGTAAGAAGATGACGATCAGACTAGGGCCTGTCGTGATATCATGGATCGCTTAGGTTCCACCAGGATCTGGTAGTCCTCATAATTCTGCGGCCTCTATGTGTCGTCATCTCGCACAACTCCGAAAAACCGTTGTGAGTTTGGCATGTGAAAATTTGCAGCCCTACAGACATCGATTGGGTTAACGAGTTGTCGTACGTCACCTCAAGATCGGGTGACAGGGGGCTGAACAGGCCAGAACCCAATTGATTGGGTCGGAGGTCACGTGATTATGAGCCTGAGGTCACGTGACTATGACGTCACCAGAGCTGAGAGCTCGTTCTCCGTTTCCCGCTCTTTGGACCAGGTGAGCTTGCATGCTTGTGAAAGTGGGTGTAAGTACAGCTGTACTGTAGTTACATCCAATTACCCCTAATAGAACGAAGATTTATTTTCTGACAGAAAGCTAGAAATTTACCAAAATATCGACTTTGTTCAAAATTTATTTTGATGACCACTCCTGACCTAAAATTGCACGAGAAATCGATTAAACTTGGTTTCAGAACTCAACAATGCTTCCTTATGCCTTAAAATCCATTTTTATCGATACAATAAACATTTTGATCCTGTGGATTAATTGATATCTGGATATTATCCGGTTGGAAGAGACAAGGACAAGTGAAACAAGGAAGTTAGGAGTAAGGGCAAATTTTCGGCGTCAACGCCATCTTCAGGCTAAAATTGTTATAAATGTTAGTATATAATAAATGCTTCTATACTAGTTAAAATGCTAAATTAAAATTACACACACTGAATACAGGTTACATCAAATGGTATTGTACATTACATTGAAAATAGTGATGTACACACGTTTTACACTCTGTCCAAGTACATAATATCTACTGAACAGCAGGGTCGTGTGCTATTTGTTTAAATTTGTCTTTGAATATGTTGTAAAAGAAATCCCTTAAGCTTCTCGCACTCTTCTTTGTTATTGATACTAGGTTTAAATACATTAATGTAGTAAGCTTCTGTCACTTTACGTTTAATGGTGCTATATAAGTTAATTTCTAAAATATCGAAGGAAATATCTGGTTCTATGTTATCGTGAAACTCTGAATAATGAGCAGCCAACGCATTATCAGGATAGGTTAAAGGCCTGTTGACTGCTCTTCGATGCTCTGAAAATCTATCGTGTGCTGTTCTACTCGTTTCCCCTATATGTCCGTCCGTGTCCGCCAATGTCCCAAAAAACACGTCCGTTGTCTCATAGAATCCAAAAAGGACAGGACATAGGCGGACATAGACGGATGTGACACCCCCCCCCCCCCCCCCATTATTACTTGTAACTTTACACGTGAATTTTTTATTCAATATCCGTAGACTAAGTCAGAAGTTTAAGAAGGGAGCAAGTTTGAACATAGAGCACGTATCAGCGAATTACGGACGGACTTTGTTTGTTTGTGCTGTAACATTTTTCCTATGTAACATTAAAATTCGTTAACTGATCCTCAAACTATAACAGATTTTATTCATTTATCTTTTACCTTTAGAAAACTGAAGAAGCTTCACGTGACCATGAGGAAGGTCCACGATTTCTTGTTACTTCACAAAAAACGTCTGTAGCTTAATTAAATTTCAGATCACATCATTAATGGGTTATAAATATGACTAAACATAAGCCATATTAAGTGAATGTAACTTATTATTTAGGCTTTTAACAACTATATGTCACCCAAGTGACGGAAGTACAATCTTACTATATATAAAGCGAGACGATATATATCCGTACCATTTTACTGACACCACGGCATCAAATTTAACACGATTTTCCGCAAAAACGCGAATTAAATAGGTAATAATTTATTTAGTCTCTTGAGTCTTAAAACCACTCAGGGGTTAGACGGGTTCCTGCTAGTAGACTTTAACCTGTCGACAATATTTCAGGAATGATTCCCGCAAGAAATTATATTCCTTCGTTTTGCTGTGATCCCTACTCTGGAACTAACTGCTGATGAAATTTCATACGATTCGTTGATTTTTTGTAAAAATTGAACTTATATTTTATAAAATTCCGATATTCTTCAACGGTTGAAAAATTCCGAATCTTATGGTTAAGTAAGAATTTGCATTGTGTCTTATCGAAAGTGAGTAAGAGAAACACTTGTGACAATTTTATTTACTGGTCCTCTTATTTGTAAAGATATCCTCAATACATTCAATGACAAAGTGTGATAACTGTTAAAACAGGGGTCGAATTCACAAAAAATAACGTAAACCGTTGATTTAAAGCAATCGCCGCTCCTGTCTCTTGATTGCTGATGATGATCAGGAACGCATGACGTATAAATATCATCACGACGATTATTGGTCACTCGAAATCGACCCGTTAAGAATGCAATGTAAGTGCGATGGTTTTTTCTGTGCATTTGTTACCTGTTACTAATTAATCCACAGGATCAAAATGTTTATTGTATCGATAAAAATGGATTTTAAGGCATAAGGAAGCATTGTTGAGTTCTGAAACCAAGTTTAATCGATTTCTCGTGCAATTTTAGGTCAGGAGTGGTCATCAAAATAAATGTTGAACAAAGTCGATATTTTGGTAAATTTCTAGCTTTCTGTCAGAAAATAAATCTTCGTTCTATTAGGGGTAATTGGATGTAACTACAGTACAGCTGTACTTACACCCACTTTCACAAGCATGCAAGCTCACCTGGTCCAAAGAGCGGGAAACGGAGAACGAGCTCTCAGCTCTGGTGACGTCATAGTCACGTGACCTCAGGCTCATAATCACGTGACCTCCGACCCAATCAATTGGGTTCTGGCCTGTTCAGCCCCCTGTCACCCGATCTTGAGGTGACGTACGACAACTCGTTAACCCAATCGATGTCTGTAGGGCTGCAAATTTTCACATGCCAAACTCACAACGGTTTTTCGGAGTTGTGCGAGATGACGACACATAGAGGCCGCAGAATTATGAGGACTACCAGATCCTGGTGGAACCTAAGCGATCCATGATATCACGACAGGCCCTACGATCAGACCTCATTATTAGGTTCCAATATATATTGAAGAAAATTGAAGAAAAATATTGTCAAATATTTACGCTATTCAGCTAGTGTTGAAACGTAAAACGGGTATTGCCCAATGCCTTCTTAGCAGGCTTTGTATTAAGATTAAACAATTAAGGGAGAGGATGTTGAAATATTTTCCCGTTTTCAGCACTTGAGGCTTACAGAGATGAACAATGCGGTTTTGGTTCAACATTCAGAGAATATGATTGAAAAGATTAGAATCATTGAACCCTATGTCACATGGGGCTATCCCAGTCTGCGTTCCATTCATGACCTGATCTTCAAATATGGTAAGTTATATATGATTGAGTTAGTGACAGGAGCTGTAATTAAAACTTATAATACCTTCCGAGAATTATATGCACTAAAACTCGTGGACACTGAGAGCTGATAATTTGCAGATATATCCCGCAAGGGAAGCTACTAGGTATTTATATTATCAGCATAGACTGCGAGTCACCTCAGACTAGCTGGCGGGGAGTTTCAAAACAAATAACAGTGGGGCACTATATATTAGACACTATATATTGTATCATGCTACTTGTACTGACACTCCCATTTTAGGGTACGGAGAAGCAGACGGGGTGAAATCAGCTCTCAGTTCAAATGTGATTATCGAGAACAAGTTCTCAAAACAAGGTCTGCTGTGTTTGGAAGATGTGGTGAAGCAGATCTTCGAAGCAGGACCTCATTTTGAAATGCTGATAGAGTTCATGTACCCCTTCAAGTTGCAGCCCCCAAAGGGCGGCTTCAGAAGAGTGGCAGTTCATTTTAGTAAAAAGGGTGCCTGGGGAAACCGTGCTGAGAAGATCAACACTCTCATCAGGAAAATGTTGTAAAATGGAACACGGTGTAAAATTCTGGCTGCTTTCGTCTTTCAGCTTTTAAGTTATTGAGAATATCATTTAAATGACCGATGCAGTTTTTAATTTTTAGTGATACGCTTTAATGGGTGTTGAATGTTGATTTTAAAGCATAATATCGGCTTATAACAGTATTTAATGGACTTAGTGTTCTTTTAATTTAACTTACGTGATATACCTTCGTATTATTCGTGTCACTGTTGATAAGCAATCTAGAGGAATACAATTTAAATCATTTAAGTTCGTCAAACTTAATAATTAAGCCTAACTCACTAAGGTATGGCATTTTGTTTGTTTCTACCCATAACCCATTACTTCAACACAGCAAGTTTATGCCGCAAAGCGCGCCAATATGTCACAATTGTACAAAGAAGTACAGCAAAGACCCACCCACAATACCCATATTGCTGAACTGTGGGCACACCTACTGTGAGGGCTGTATCACCAGGTTTGGGAGACTCATCAAGGGGAAGGGAAATATCACATGTCCAGGTTAGCTTTGGTTATATAGGACTTGTTTATCTTGTAAAGTTGAGCGGCATATGATAATACCTGACAACGTTTGCATTGTTTAACAAGAAGTGCAATTTTTTTAATGTGGGTGACCGCTAAACTACCATATTATACACAAAAAACCTCGATCACTAACCCAAGTCATTGACTCTTTGACTTTTTCGTATCTACGGCACAAGAGTCGTGGGTAAAATACCAATCTGTTCTCTGAGGTCTGTGCAACTAGTGCAGTGGTTGGATAAAGCACTATAACAATACCTCCTCAGACTGTGCAGAATATCACTACATAGAGAGTCTAAAGAGCATCAAGCAGCTGCAGATAAATGCTCATATCTACGGTATCATTACCGCCCCTAACAGAAGAACTGAGAATGCAGTCGACGCAATGGTAACTAATATACATCAACAGTAAAACATTCAAAATATACGTTATGTTGGCTGTGTAAAATTATACAATATTATATAATGAACTTTATGTTTTTATAACTTCATGCCATAATTTTTAACAGAGCGGTTGGAACCTAAATTCTGTTAAAATCCCATACCAATATCTATAAGAAATATTAAATGTGAAGATATGATAACGTTTGAAAAAGTATGATAAGTTATCAGGTGATAAACAGTAAGCCCCCTCAGGTGCAACACAATGAGCTGGCCACCAAGTTGACAGATCTGGCAAGACAGCAGAGTTCAGATGAAGAAGAATCAGAGGTGGAGGATAAGGACGACTGTAAGTTATTTTTACCAAAATTTAGTCGAAATTGGCCTAAGTTGGGTTTCGTGTTGATAACAGTAATGGACCCGCAGTTACAGGGGGTCTAAACTTTAATGAATGATCCCTTACTATCACCAATATGGTAAAACTTCGGCTAATGTTGGTGTATTCTGGTGACAGTTACATTCCACAAAAATGGCAACCATTTCTGACAGAAACCAACTTCTTTGTCAGGTGTGAGGTGTCAGAAAAGCTAAAATAAATGATCACGTGTCAATAATTCAGTTTGTTTAAATTATAAACAAGATACTAACACTCTTCACCTCCAGATACACCCTGTTGTGAGTGTAAAGGCAGGTCTTCTCTCCAGTGCAAGAACTGCGGGTCCCTGCCCTACTGCACTGCATGTTCAGACAAAGCACACAAACTAGTAGCTTTGCAGAGCCATCGTCCGGAGCTTATCAAACCTAAATCACTGTTTGATCAATGCCAGTTCCATCCAGATGCTATTCCTACACAGTGCCTGGAGCATGATGGTAAACCTGTGTGTCCTCAGTGCCCCTCAACAGGTAATATTTGTTTCTTTGCTCTTTGGTGTGTTTTACCTTTGCTAGTTAAACCTAAATTTGTTTAAGAGAAGTTTAATCATCCAAAATTATGGAGATGGTTGTTTTACCAAGTTTTTATTTCAAGAATTTTACACACAATCTCGTCTTAATACAATAAGCACGCCCGCAAGCATCACCGAATCAATTTCACTGCATACCATCTCAGTTACACTGTCAACAATTCACCTGCAACAACGGCATAATGCTATGCGACTGATAACAGTCGTATTTACAAAATTTTGAAATAGCTAGCTAGCTGGGCCTGTTTCCACTCTTACAACTCAGAATGTGCATTAACATGATAATTTCAACCTTAAAATCCTATTTAAGGCAATTATAACTGTGCTCAGCTATGCTTGTTAAATAAGGTCCATTTTAATAGTTCCAACGATATCTAATTTTGTGTGAGTTTCTGACTTTGAATAGATAATACTTATTGTATATATTTTTGAATAAACATTGGCTGGTATTTCGGGCCGGTCCCCAGCAAACAAACACACTATCAGCAAAATGTTTAAATATTATATATTAAAAATCTCACCACTTACCAGGGGAAACAATCGACTTGGTCTGTGAGCCGGATCAGATGGACGATCTTATCCAGAAACACAACCTAGCTCTAGAGAAATTGGAGGAAACTGACCAGAACATCGCCACAGATCTTATACCCATGGTAGAGCAAGACTTTCTGAGACTGAAGTCAGAGGTGCGAAAGGAGTTTGGTTATTTTCACGGTGTATTGCAGGCCAGAGAGCAAGCTTTGTTGGGTGCTCTTGATGACGCACAGTCAAAAACTACGGAGCCTCTTTTAAATTACAGGTAAAAAGATGTCCCTGGCTGTCCCTGTCTCTGTCGAGATAACTCCATCTTATAAAATCAAAAGGAATATATTTAACGTGTTTTGTTGAAGCTTTTGGTGGAAATTTAATTATCTTTAGTCCTTTTAATTTGAAAATATGATCAGATCAGAAATAGTGAAAACGAAAAAGACTGCTCGTAAAAATTTCAACTGGATCCAGCGCCACAAAAATTCAAAGAATGCACTGATTGAAAAGCAGTCTGAGGTTCAGACCATCAAGAAAGGTAAGTTTTATTAAACATAACGTATCAAGTGCTTTTTGGAAGTTCGTTTTTAGCAGTTCGTTTTGTCACGTCGAGGTTGTAGGATAAGAGTCAGACCTCTTATGTGTTATGATTTATGACGACAACGTTTTCATTACAAAAACAGAAGAAAACTTTCTTTTCGAAAGTTTTCTTCGGGGGACTTTTTTGAACAAACACATCATTTTTCTTAATATTGGTTAAATCCTTATTTGAAGCCTTTACATTAGCTTATTTTAAGATATTTGCTTATCTTAAAAGTTACACCTGCTAATAATCAACTCTCCAGGGATAGAAAGTATGAAATGTTCGCTGATCGTACAAAGTGAGAAACGACCCACACTCTCCACTAAAAAGGGAATGTTATCGCAGTGTATAAACGAATTTTGTAAACTCAACATTGACGACGTTCACAATTATAATATGGATACAGTTAACTCGACAGTGGCTAAGTATAACGAGGAGGTATGTCTGGGTTATTGCTTTTATTTCTTCTGTTTTTCGTACTTTCGTGAAATAACGAGCAAGTTCATAATTCAGATCTTCTGGATATTATATGTTAGCTTTAGCCTAGACTGGATCAAGTTTAAAAACAACAAGAAATCTACTATTAGATCGAAACTGAATATTGTTGATCACCCCCACTATCTACAAAATAATCAGAAATATGACACCCACAGCAGGTGTCATTGTTCCCCCTCCAGTGGAGAATGACTGGGAGTCATTGAACATGACACAATTAAGTGTCACCTCTCAGCCCAGCGAGCCTCTCACAGTTCAATTCGCTACTGCAGGTACAATAATTATTTTATTGAATAATAGTTTTATTAATTTGAATAAGTAAAGAAATAATTGTTTTGTTAAACTAATATGATTAGATAGTAGTATTTAAAGGATAATTTGAAGATTCTCGATAAAGTATAAATTCTAAATTCATGCCTCTCATATTCGTATATTTTAAAATGAACACGCCCAAAATCGAGTTGTATATAACTATAATCAAATTGATTAATCGAATCGCTTAGTCCTCAATAAAGTCCTTAATAAAGTTGTTAGAATCTTTCCTTCATGAAGCAGATAACGATAAGTTCAACAAACACTATGACCACAGTGGAAGCTACTGCCATCTGGGGATCCAGGAAGGCAGCTAAAGAAGTTCCCACCACACCTCCAACCATACCCCAAGCCATAGTCACGGAACATCCCAGCTCTAATCGTGTCCTTCCGAAGTAATCGTAATCGTTGTGTAATAACCCAACCTCCACCGCCTGTATGGAATAACACAGCTTTGCCAGCCCTAACAGCACCACGGAAGCTATGAGGCCAGGATTTGCTAGAATGATACCAAAGCTTATAGCTATGGTTACCGTGATTACAGATTGAAGGATCAGGAACTTAACACGACTCAAAAGGAAGTACCCTAGTGGTCTCCCTGTGAGGTTGCTTGCACCAGTTACTGCTGACAGGATCAGGAAATCATTGCCTTGAACAACTTCCTCATAACCTTCAATTTCTTGGAGGAGACCTCTTCTGAAGCTTCTCATCAGCCACGGTAGAAGAATAATGCTTCCATATCCAACGAATTGGTTACAGAAGAAAAATATGCTTGATTTGATGACCCTCACAGAGAAATTTGAGACATCTGTTGGTTTCTTGTCGACAGATACGGTCAGTTTCAGTCGGAACAATGTTTCTCTCTGCAACAGTTTCACTTTCTCCTTCTTTGCCTTTCTCTGGTTCTTCTCCGATGAAAAAGTGAAGAATGATGATGGGAGGAACAAATAGCGGGATTGAAGTCAGCAGAACGAAAACCCTCCAGGTTACAAGGTCTAGAATCAGCCATCCCAGTAAGGACACCCAAGTTCCTCCAACTGCTATACCAAGAGCTTCTGCCAGAAATGTGCTTTGAGTCAAGACTCCTTTAGTGAAACGAGCTTAGCAAGAAATATACCAATTGTAACGTCGTTTAATCCAACACAGATACCGGTTAAAGCTCTAGAGAGGATAAGGGTGTAATAATTAGGAACCACCGCACATAAAATAGCAAACACAATTGACAAATAGAGTGACAAAAGTAGTGTGAATCGTTCCCCCAATTGTTTTGAAATAAAGACTGATACCATACATGAGATTGCCCAAAACAGATACAGAATCACAGCTAGGATTCCCTCTTGAAAGTCCAAAAATCCGAGTTCACATGATACTGTCTGGGTGATGACTCCAGGGAGATAAGCCTCGACTCCGTCCCCAATCTTTATCAGTACCGCCAGTGACACGAGGAGGTAATCCTGTTTAGTCCACAAGTCGGATTCAGAGGGGGAGATGCTTCTATTTTTAGCTCCGTTTCGTCGGACATTTCTACAGACTGTTACTATACTATGTTATATAATATTATATTATATATTGTGACGGGGGGGGGGGGGGGGGGGGGGGGGGGGGCCAATGACTACTTTTGGGGACTTGGGGAATTACGTCAACGATTTTACCCCGAGTCCCCATGATTTTTAGTCCCCATTAGTCCCCAAAAGTCTCCATTAGTCCCCATTTAGATGATTTTTAGTCCCCATTAGTCCCCAAAAGTCTCCATTAGTCCCCATTTAGATTTAACCTACTCTTATCTTGGACAAAACATCTCGATCGTATCGTTATTAAACTAACTTGAAAACCATAAATAACTGTCAAAAATTCTGGGGACTTATGGGGACAAATGGTGAATTACGTCAACGAGTTGACCTCTAGTCCCCATGATTTTTAGTCCCCATTAATCCCCAAAAGTTTCCATTTGTAGTCATTGGCCCCCCCCCCCCATTGTGACTTAGTACTAGCCTGACTAAAATTTACACTGACGACCTGCATGTGAACAATTAAAATTGGGTCTTGCACAATAACGTTTAAGGGTAATAACGGTATTTGTTCTGAAAGGTTGCAGAATGCAAATGAGGGCACAAATCTAAAGAACCAACATAGAAATGCCGTGTAAAACAAAAGCTAATACGTGGTTACTCGTTCCAATGAGATGTCAGGAGGTGACCGGGATTGGCAATTTTGAGCTATCCCGGTCCCGGTCAAATGCTGATTTATTTATTTATGATCCCGGTCCCGGTCCCGGTTAATTCGGGATTCTTGGTCCCGGTCCCGGTCCCGGTCAATCACTCAAATTTGCCGGGATTTTGACCGGGATCTTTTACATAATTTCATTAACTGTGATTTTAAGTTTTTCCTTTCATTCATTGTGAATTTCATCTTTAAACATCATCTGAGCCAAATACAACAATGTTTAAAATTGCTAAACAAGTTTGAGTAATAAATTATGATCATGAATTAACCAGTAATCGACCGGAATTCCCGGTACCGGGAATCCCAGTACCGGGATTGGCAATTTTGAGCTATCCCGGTCCCGGTCCCGGTCAAGTCACATTTTGTATCCCGGTCCCGGTCCCGGTCAGGCCTGAAATCATGTCCCGGTCACCTCCTGTGAGATGTTATTCTAACACTTAAAACTGTTTTACAGAGAACAAAGATAAGGTGGTAGTAAGTGTCGTGAACACGCCACATTGTTTCTACGTTCAGAAGACCAAGGATAGAAATGATCTGGACGAGCTGCAGAATGTTTTGGTGGGTTGTCTCCCAATATCTACATATAGATCTGCAAAAATATTATCGTTCGCCGCGATTTTCGTGATTTTCCCCGCGATTTTACCTACTCTGGCTTGTCGCGGCGCCGTGATTGTTGGCCTAATTTATCGCGAGTTTCTTTTGTCCTTGATATAGCTATTTGGACCATAAATTGTTATTCTGAAACAGAAGGTATTTAATAATTTAGATTATCAGTGATCTGTTCGCTAATTATGTTCACTGTTTGCTAATTATCAGTGATCTGTTTGCTAATTATGTTCACTGTTTGCTAATGACCTGATCTGCAGGTGAAGTACTACGGACTCTCAGTAACCGCTGAAGACTACCTGAATCGTGTGACTACAGGAGATCTGGTGTGCTGTAAGTTCACTTTGGATGGGTTCTGGTACCGGGCACGAGTTCAGGAGACTGATAACGCCTCCGCTAATGTGAGTTTCAGATAGTTAGATTATCATGTAGTAGTTGTACAGTAATACTAAATTAATGGGACTACTGCGGACCCTCTACTAGATTATCAACTTAATTCTATACCGTGGCCCCGTGGGTGACGGATTGCACTATTGACCCAATACCGCACCTTTTCCCACCATCGCGTCGGCAGCTATTCGTTCTATTAGATTTTGTACTTGGTACCGTTGTGTACACTGTAGAATGATATAGGATTGGTATGCCCACAACATGACGGTACTATATCACAGGTGCTGTATATCGACTACGGTAACTCTGAACTAGTACCAGTCAGCAGTTTGCGAAGGTTAAAAACTCAGTTCACCCACTGTCCAGCTATGGCAATACAGTGTTCTCTGTTCGGTATAACCCCCCGGACTGGGTCTACTTGGACTGACGAGGCTGTGGAGTCCTTCAGACAGTTGACTGGGGAGAATGAGTTGGAGATGGTTACTATGGGCAAGTCTCAGGAGTGTGCTGAGGTATGTTTAATTTAGGGGAAGTTTGTTTGATTTATCGTGTTTGTATTTTTTAGCTGACTTTTTATAAACTACCTAGACCTAGGTCCTAGACCTGTTTAGTTATCAATATCCAAATAACTTTTTCAATGATTATTCCTCTGTTGCAACGATATTGTATCATATTATATTATAATAATATGATACAATATCGTTGCAAAAGAATAACAGTAACTCGGAAGTCGGAAAGACCCGACCACCATTTAATAGACCCCTTATATCTAACTAATCTTTCAATGTCTAGATATAATACTCAGGTAGATTTATTGCGGATTGGTGGTGATATTGGGAGCACTCGGGAGTTCCTTGTGTTTTTAGAGCATGCCTGTTTCTCAACTAAAGACAAAATCAGCGCTGATATTGGTTGGTCAATTCTTTACACTTATCCTTTGTTATATTTCCTGGGGTTTATTATATTTTCCGTTATGACGTCCGAAATTCCCTTTGATCGAGACTGCCGTAACAATTATTAATACATTAAGGGTACATTATGGCTACATTATGGGTGATATTATCTGAATAAACAGTTGATCACACAGCGTCACTTATAATATATAAAAGTAAATTGTCCCAGTAGTGGAAGATGCGGTTGAGGAGGAGGTTATTGTGGAGTTAGACACTGTTCAAGTAGAACCAACCCCACTAACCTGGCCTGACTCTGAAGAGGAATACACCCTGGTGACTGTGAGCCACATTAATTCTCCCCACGAGTTCTACATTCAGTTCAGCCACACCTCAGAAACTCTACAAGATATAGGTTAGTTACTAGTTAGTCATGTCACATGTGCGTCTCGTTATTATGTTTTATTTTATGATTGAATTATGGTCTTATGAAATTTCCGCTCCTATTTGAAAATTGACAGTTATCTTCCTCCTGTCGAGAGTAAAACACCAGTAAAACACCAGTAAAACACCAGTAAAACACCAGTAAAACACCAGTAAAACACCATTAAAACACCAGTAAAACACCAGTAAAACCATTAAAACACCAGGACAGAGGACCTCATCACACATGAAGCTGGTCGGGAAGAAGTTCCCTCTAAAAGAGCTAAAGAAAGGGGTGATGTGTGTGGCTCTGTTCCCGGGTGATGGTGCTTACTATAGAGCTGTTATAATGGGAGCTGTGGGCTTTGACGTGCAGGCTAGTGGGCGTAATCTCTCATATCCCGTGCTATACACACGTGCACACGTATACACGTGCAATATCGTGTTATACACACGTACACACGTGCAATCCCGTGTTAAACGCACGTATACACGTGCAATCCCGTGTTATACGCACGTATACACGTGCAATATCGTGCTATACACACGTATACACGTGCAATCCCGTGCTATAGTACGATGGGGAACGACTGAATTGTCAATGTTTTACTCAATTCGGACTACAACAAAAACATTGTTTTTTTTGCTAAATCAAGTGTGTGTTACCAAAAGTTTGGTCCCAATTAGAACTGAAATTTCAGTCGTTTCCTAGCTTCCTAGTGTGCTGAATGCTTAGCATATTTACAAGCCTCGTGAAAAGCTGGTGTAGCTTTAAAACTAACATTTTTAGTTTGACTTTACTGTCAGTATCAAACTTTCAAAATATGCACTGCTATGTAAATAAGAGAATTTCCGCATATCTTAGAAGTTTTACAGTACGTAGCACTAGGTCACCAAAACCTGACACACCCACCTCAGGTGTTCTATTGTGACTACGGTAACAGCGCTGAAGTAGCGCGCAGTGAGCTATACGAGATTCCCAGAACTCTAGCGGAACCACCTCAACAGAGCCTGACATGTTCTCTGTTTGGGGTAGCTTCTAAAGAGGGAGAGTGGACAAGAACAGCAGTTGTTATATTCGAGCAACTGGTTGCTGCGCGGCTTATTTTTGCAGGGCTCCATTGTGTTGAGCAAGGGAGATGTCAGGTTAGAACTTTCAGTATGGTTCCTAGACAGTAAATATTTTATTGGGTCTCCCCGAGTGTCTGTCATTCTTTTGTTTGCAAATAAATGTTAAACCAATTTGGTGACGAACTCAAATCCGTTTAAAGCGATATTGGACCGTTTTCAACTTCAGGTTTCGTTGATAGATACTACTTTGAGCAACGAGGATGTCGAGATAGCAGATGAGCTGATCGGACGAGGATTCGGTATTTCTACTGTACCACCAGCCAAACCTCAGTCAGTATTTAAATATTTATTCGTTTCTTATTTTTCAATTATTAGCCAACAGGAATTTACTAAACACACTAAAATTATTAAATCTGAAAGGACTAAACATTAGAAATTCACAGAATCGATCTTCAAAGTGCTTAACTGAGTCTTAAGAAATAGATTTTAAAATAAAGGAAAAAACTTGTCTAATCAACCTTCTCTTTCACTGATAACTTCATTGTCTATTAGATCACTTTTGCCTCTACCAAAACGATTAATTCGTCTGGATGTGAATTACGGTTTTCATCTATCTTTTCAGTTTCCTTATCAGTAAAGTTAGTAAGCTTCGCATTTGTCTCACCACCACCTCCAGTTACTGCATTGGTACCAGTTAATAAGATGTCATCTACCTTTTTACCATGATATCTCCTAATGTCTGGTGCGGATAATATATTCACTGTCTTCCCAGAACTCTGATCCGTGGTATCCACGTTACACTCATCCTCATTCTCTTCAATCCCTTCCAAAACAGCGCTGTAATTCACACTCTTCCCACTACCTCTCCTGTTCTGAAGAATAACATCCACGGCTCTCTCATTGCTCTTCCACTCAATCTTTCCATTCCCACGAGACACTGCACTCTCCTCACTCTCCTCACCATAGTTCTCCAACACAACCCCCTTCTCACCCTCTCCCTGGATAGTCCGCAGTACTGTAGGCTCTGATGAGGAAAGGGAAGGTGATGACTGCCTCCACCTCTATGATAAAGTAACACCACATGTGGACCCGTAGATCAGGTCTGAACGCGCCGTGAGTCAGGTTAATGCCATATCTCTTGACAAGGTATGTGATCACGTAACTCAGCAGGAATTCCTCTAGTTTAACCACCGTTACAAAGGCTTTGTACAGGATGAACTTCCGGTATATCTTGTAGTGTTTGAGGTGCTCCTCTGCTGTGTGATAGATCCCTGGGGGTGTTCCCTGCGTTATTATTTTCAACTTGTTGATTGTGCTTAATAAAGGTGTTAAGTTGGAGACATGTATTGCCATTAGGAATTAGGATACATGATATTGTGTAGTAGCGAAGCAACAAATAGTAAAGATGTTGGAATAACTATAAAAGTGCGAACCTCCTAGTCCGTACACTGCGAGAAGGAGGGAGAATATCATGAGGATGTGATAAACTTGAGAATATTCGTGTTCTATAAGATCTGTCGGGTGACTGTGGCTCTCATCCAATCCTATCTGGAGAAGAAAAATTAAAATAGCTGTAATTAGATAATCTGAATCTGAATCTTACTAAATTCAATCACCACAAACCATTACTGACCAAGGAAAACTTTCCTTGCCACTTCCACTGCCACAACACAATATCACTCAATCTGCCAACTCACTAAAAGGTCAATGTAACCAAACACCAACTGAAACACCACCAGCTGAGCAATGAATATCTCGTTAACGAGCAGGAAGTGTTTTGAGAAGGTGACTTTAGGCAGGAATGTCAGGCAACATATTGGAGGACTGTTCAGTTTTACTTGGGTGTTTGTTAGTTTCTCTCGTGTTTCTTTCTTTCCTGGTTGATAGAATGTGTTTTTTGAAGTTAAGTCAGAAAACAATAATTGTTGTTGTATGGCCTTATTTACACATTCATCTTTTGATTTGCTGAGACTGATTGCAGGAGCTGAATCGTTTACCGCGGAGTACGATACCTGAATTTATCACATGAAACCTCATAAAGTGATAAAGTGAGTCTACTCACCTCCGAGATAAGTAAGGAGTAATCTCAGGAAGAAAAGTAGAGACACCGACTCGTATGTCTCAGCTATGTAGGTCACTTTAGACATGGCTTTCGGGACTATCATGCCTGCGAAACAGCTACAATTACTTCTGTACGGGATAGTTTAAATGCTTCAATTATTCTGCATGTCACACTTTATCACACTTTATCACACATGTCTCATTTGCAAAAGTTACAGTTTTATCCCCCAGAGCTGAGTGTACACATGGTATATACCTATCACATTTTCAAATACTAACACATGTTTCCTACCTGAAAAGTACATGGTAACGAATACAGGGAAAGTAAAGATGACCCCGACAGTACAGAGTGATTGCATTGTGTACTTCGTACTGTACGCTCTGTGCTGGTTCACTGCCTTTATAAACTGAACTGAAATGATATTCTTGGAGAAAAATTGACTGCCAGAATTTTACTAATCGGTAGATGTGTGGTAGTTTAATTTTCAATTTTACTTAAAAGTAGAAAGTTTCTTAATTAAAGCCGATCAAGGTTTGTCTAAATTGGTAATAATTATATTATATATATATATATATTATATATATAATCGATAAGCACGTACAATACATTAATGTATTAATTTTAGATATAATGTACCTATGACAGCGATACAGATACAGAATGAGATGAACAGTATCACGAGGTAGTCAGGTGGTACTCCAAATTCCACCATCTCTGATAACGAGGGGTTGTGTTCCCACACATCTTCTCCTCCTCCTCTTTCTTCTCCTCCTTCTTCTTCTCCTCCTCTTTCTTCTTCTCCCTCCACTTTGTTAGCTTAAATTTTAATATTAACTTGTAATTATTATTAAGCTAAGCCGTGGATTGTCTAAATTCTATCAAACATAATATGACCAAATTCAAAAGCAGAAAAAATTGAATAAAATATTAAGCGTGTTTTAGATAAAAGTGTTATGAGAACCAGTGAACTTCTACAATGCATATTGCACATACCCTCACTGCCTCACATGTGAATGATAATGACCTTCGTCCTTTTTTTACTAGAGATAAAACATCCTTAACGTCGACTTATCCGGCTGCCAGACCATAAAGGTACATGTGATCATTAATTGGATCAAGTAATTAAGTAATTAAGATGCTGAAGCAACGTGAGTTATTGGAGTGGCTCAGACATGGAAGAAAAAATGTAATACAAATTATTCACAACTAGAATTAAGGAAAAAATGTATATGACTCTGCACTCATTTCATCTAAAATTTACAACACTATCAAGAAATGCTAACTGGTAGTCATTAGAAGGTAATGTACAAGGGGGAACAGTCTATAGATGGCTATTGTTGTTAAAGTTGGCAACAATTGGTATCTCAGGAATTTTTCAAATCTTTGTTTGTCCATTAGCAGGCGTGTTTCTCAGACAAGGCTGTTGCATTTTGGCCAGCAAGTGATGTTGCGGATGCATTGCTTTGCTGTACTACTTGAGCAAGGGACTCTATAGTTTCAGAGTCAAGCAATTGGAATCTATGGATCACATCATCAATTAATCGTCACTGAGATTGGTTGACATGATCTGATCCCTGAGAAAGCCAGCTTAGAGAGGTTCTTAATGGTGAGTCCTGCTTGTTACCTAAGTATAAAAGATGTCATCTTCACTACATCACTACTTACTGACATTGAGACTTGTAGCATCATCGAGCAAACCAAGAAGTTTCATCATTACTGGTCGCTAAAAACTGAGTTAACAAGTTCCCAAACACGATTGAAAGTGCCTAACACGATAAAGAGAATTAAAGAAAAATCAATGGTATGGACTAGGGAAGTCGAGAGGAGAAACAATTACCTGTTGACGAAATTATGGGTTTATCAGTTACAAGTCCTACAGTGCTGGAAATGAGGGTTAATTTTATTAGTCTTTTTTTTAAAGACTATAGGAATCATGGAGAAATGCTGAACCAATGTGGTCTGGTAGTCTGGTGTCAAATTCTTAACAAGATTGGTGTGCGTGATTTCATGCATCATTGACCACTGATTAACAATAAATTATAACTTCTACTAGTACTAGGTCGGAACTAAGTCCGATAAATTAGTGATAACTACAATACATATTATTATTATTATACAATATACTAGTGTTATTATCTTTATGGTCGGGTTCTATTCAGGGCTAAAATATGCCAGGTTAAGTTAATCTGTAAATCAATACTTAATTAAATTTGTTAGTTGATTCTTAACGTAAAACTGTAAAACTTCAAATTTTCAGACAGCAACACAGATCAAGTGTACCGATGGGTGAAATCTCGCTGGGTCTCGTGAACTCTACACGTGAAACTACTATTTGTCACGTGACAAACCCACATATGATCTACGTTAATCTTACTGACATTCCATACCCTCCGTGAGTTACATGTTGACATTGTTAATTATTCATTTTAGTGATAAATTATGTTGAATAGTTAGTTGATGGATTGATAATGTCCCTGAAACAGTTTGATCTATCCCTCCGTAATTCTTATGTAATTTCGTAACTATTTAAAAGAATAACCAATAACCAATGGACAGGTTTTTCAAACAGCTGAACGCAGCGTACTCGACGTTTGTAAAAACAGGTAACCAGGTAATTGAGCGGGAAACTTCCTGGAGTATCGGGGATATTTGTGTTGCTTTTCTACCCGACCTGGATCTTTACATCAGAGCGAAGATCTTAAGCTTCGAAATACCGCAATCAGTTGGGGTAGGTGTTAGGGTGCTGAAACCTGTTATTTACTTTGACTGATATAATCGCGTTTTTTCTGTTGAGGCTTTCTAAATTTATGGAAAATGGCATTAACGATAAATAATGTTGTTATACTTTTAAAAAGTAGTAGTTTAAGGTTACAAATTTGTTGTTTGAATTTTGACCAAGAAGTTTTTGGAGATCATACCAACACGATTTAAGCCCTGACGACGAATTTTCGTACTAAAGTATGTAGATCTATGTATTCGTCATTTCTGTGAAGTCGCCTTCCTACCATTCGTAGCACTTGGCCCTGAGCCAAATGCTACCGGTGAATTTCCTGGTTCTGGCTAGGTTTCGTGTTAGGGTAGTTAAAGGTTAGCTGCTCTGTTAAATGTTAGGACTTAGGACTCAAGAGTGGGTTTACGCCACTCCACAGTCCACTGTACCACTCTATAACATATAACTGTAGCACCATAATGCGTGAACTGGCAATCTAATCCGTCACACTGAATATGTTGTGATTTTGGTACGCGCTTGAACAATATCGTGATAAAATAAATTTATCTCTCAAAATCCTAGAACGCGCACACAGGCGCGTATTTAGCCACATGGTTGACTTAGATCGACAGAGGTGGTCTCTAATTTTAGTGACAGGCTGCCCACTGTCCACAAGCAATACTCTAACCCCACTCTAACACAAACACATTTACAGGTCATAAACATAGATCAAGGACGTGAAAGTAAGGTTTCACTAAACAACCTCAAAGTCCTCATCGCAGACTTCTCTCTGATACGCGTATCCAAGTTCGCTTTGTCCTGTCGATTATTTGACATTGTGCCGCTGGACGACAACGGCTTCACACGTGATCAAAACAAGAAAGTTGTGCGATTTTTTAGTAAAAAAATTAAGAAAACCAAAGCTGGCTGCTTCGTTACAGTCATGGTTTGTTGTTATTTATCAACATAATTTATAGTTAAGGATTTGAATGATGAATGAAAATGCCTGGGGAAAATAGGGTTCTAACAACTTACCAACCTCGTAGTTCCAATCAATTAATTAGTTGTTTAACTCATTTGTAATCTTCTATTCCAGGGAGAACGTGATCCTGGGACCGGTGCCTGGCCTCATTTTTAATCTTCTATTCCAGGGAGAACGTGATCCAGAGACCGGTGCCTGGCCTGTAGATATGGTGCTGATAGATCCCGCCGACAGATCAAGGGAACGTGTTTCAGACGAGCTGGTAAAACTTGGTATCGCTCAGTTCATTACGTTAGTAACTTAGTAATTTAGTAACTTAGCAACTTAGTAACTTAGTAACTTAGTAACTTAGTCCAAGTTAAGCGCTTTTGGGGCAGTAAGTTTCTTTAACTGTACCCTGTAGAATATATGTATTCTGGTGGGGAGGTGAGGCATAATTTTTAGAAACCAATGAGCTGCCACTCTTGATAAAAACTACAGAATCACTGTCCCGTGTCAAAAAACAATGCCTCCCCAGTCCTCACCAGAATCCACATCAATCTAAATAACAGATTTTCTTCTCATATAACAAGTTTTCGTCTCCAGCAACAAAGTGGCCGCCCCAAAAGGAGAGTATAAAAAGGTGACACTATCATTGTTGGAACGGCTTGGCAAAGTCATTCATGTCAGCAGTAACTGTACAATCTACTTTAAACCAGGTATTGTCATTTATAACATGGCTTGTGATTATTGATATCTTTTTCGGTGTTAGGATTTCCGTATATAGTACTAAAGTTCAACAACTAAAGTTCGCCAGAAATCTTCCCTTTCGAACTTCGGTACGTGTCGAACTAGAGTCCTGGTGTCGTACCCTAGTTCGACAGTCGAAGTTATCTTGTCGAACTAGGGTACATGAATCAGGAAAATAAGAGGTACTTGTTTGTTGTTAACAGTGTTCAACGAAGAATATGTAAAAAAATTTAAAATTTGTTGTTTCTTGAGTAAGGAATCATTTGTTTTGATCGCAGATTCAATGAGGCCGGACCAAGAAAGATTGGCTGCCTCCCTGGAAAGTTTCCAAGGTACGCCAGCTAACGTTGACTGGGAAGTCGGATCTGGCTGTGTTGCAAAATCAGACAAGTGGTACAATCGTGGTGTGGTTACTCATCTCATTGGTCCCAAGATTCTTGAGGTTGGCATCTTCACGATCGAGTTTCCAACTTACATTTTACATTTTGTTGATAATATGCTTGATGTGTTTTGCGCCTTTAAAAACTGTTAACACAATGTTTTTAAAGACATGAGTGGTACAACACAAAAGTATTTCCCTTATTATTTTTCAGATTCTTATGGTGGACACAGGGATATCAATGAATGTCCACGTTAAAGATGTGTTCCCAATTCTCCTATGCCCAGATATCCCTAAGTTGGCGATTCCTCTGAAGCTGGCTCACATCGAGCCTGCTTGGCATTGCAGTGAGTCCAATTTTCAGCATATGTCTACACCAGTACCAGGTCTTTTTGCTTATCCTGTTATAATAAGTAATAATATAATTCATTTCAGCTGACGGGGTAAATTGGGGACAACCTGCCAAAGCATTCCTTTACGAGCAAGTTGTGAACGAGAGATGTGAGATTGATGTTGTGAAAAATGAAGTAGAGTTTTACAGCGTGTCAATGAAACTAACATCCGGCCAGGATGTGAGTAAGGCTATGATTCGCAAAGGGTTCGCTATCAGCATTTCTCCTCATAGATTGTCGCCTGCTTCTTCAAAAACCCCGTCAACATTAGGACCAGGGATCCTTCCCTCTTCTTCGCCATTAAATTCACCTTTACAATTTGGTGCTCTACCCCAGTCACCAGGACTCGTATCACCTTCTCTTGTAGTCTCTTCTGGGGCTATGTCTGGGTCATTGTCTCCTGCACGGAACAGTTCTCACAGCTCTTTGATTAATGATGAGACCAGAGAGCTAATCGACGGTATATGAAGATATGGACAGGAACCAAAACATTTCAAGACAATTCCAATAATTTGGATTAAATCTTAATTGAATATCAATCCTACACAATCCGTCTATCAATATTATATATCAATATGTTTGGTTTGGGTTGATGTAGATTTTATATTTGTGATTGAGATCAAAATTTTTAAAAACATTTTTTCTATCGAACGTACAAAAATGTTACACTTTTTACGGGACTTTTGAGTTAATTTAAAGGTTTTTCGTAAATCGCTGTTTATTTACCGCATATTATGCGAACTTCATCTATCGGTCAATTACTGCCGCTTTTCACACAATTTGTATCAAAAGAACGGGTGTGATCCAAGTTTTAATATTTTTGAAAAGAACCGTTTATCTCAAATCAAGTTGTTTTTGAGTAAATGTTTGAAACATTTCATCTTTAAAACTCGAATTAAATATGTTTAATCATAACTGTAACTGTTTTGTTGGCGGAGCAACTCCAATTGTAAAACTAATTTTAATTGTACAAATTCAATTCAATTTTTATGTCATATTTTGAAGTTGTTCCTTCAGATTTGTTATAGCGCCGGTTATGGCATTATTGATCAAGTGCTGCAGCAGTGCTGCAGAGTGCAACAGTGCTGCATGGATAAATATTATTTTCGCACATTAGTATTGAAGAAATATTTTTAAATCTATTTTTTAACCATAATTTTAATCTTGTTACCAATTGTTGTGTTCAAATGTTATTTCTAAGTTTAAATATTGAGTATTGAATTGTTTAAAACCATCTAATTCGAAATTAATTAGAAGCAAACAAATTTCAATGTAAATCTCATGAATGACATGTATTAATAGATGGATCCTTCGAAAATTTCAAATTAATACACGTAACACAAAATGTAGTCAGTTCTAACTGTCTATTTGCAGTGTAGCGAATGTAAACAGCAATGTAGATTGTAAAACAACTACAAAGGAAGGAATCTGACGATTTGCACTAAGATGGGCTCGAGAAAACTGGTTGTGTCCCATGCAGGCTCTCAGGGTAAGACCAACTATTAAACCAGCTAGTTATATTACAAATTATGCAAAACATATTATAAATTATGCAAAACATAACCGTGCTTTTTGTCATACACGTCATGTAAGGCCAAGAAGGATGGCCAGTGTCAGTTGTATCATCTTCGAAACTGTTAAACGGACCTGGAATGGGGGAAATTTAGTTATAGGCACCAGAATTAAGTACGTCAATAAATAGTGAAAATAAGTAATCGAAGAAGTACTAATATAATATGATGCCAACAGCAATTACTCGAATTAATAATATACTCTATCGTGTGAGTTGTGACACATGATTTTTATTAAGTACAACCCTCAGTAACCATAGTAATGGTTTTTTGTCCCGGATGAAAGTTTCAACAAACCTGGTGATTACTGAAGGATGTAGTTATTGACACATACACTGCGTCCCCTTTGTCCACCATGTTGGCAGTCTCTTTAGCTATCTCGTGCTTTATTAAGACAACTGACGCACCCTTTATATCTGTCCAACTATCCTGCGAGTAAAATGCCCAGTTAGTTATATCTGTTAGTAAATTCGTGCCATAAATATATTTCGATACCGATTTTCATAACTTTTGTAACCTCATGTTTAAGATTTATGAGCTAAATCTTAAATTTTAATTTCATCAGGTAACTTTACAGCTTGTAGTTTTAAAATTCCAAAATTAAACTAAATCTATATATTTTACCTTAATGGAGACGTTCTGAGAAGCTTCAATTCCCACAATAATGACATCAGCTGCAACCTCAGCCAACGTAGCCATCTGAAAAAATATAAATAGATCCACATACAAGTATGATTAGTTTTAATTGTTATTGTTACAAGTAAGGGGGGCCGGGCCGGGGGCTAGTTATACTTATCCCTTTTGCTATTAAATTTGAACCGTTTCAGCGTCTCTTCAGCAATTATCCATTCTGTAATTGCAAAATGTTCCCAGAACCCGGTCTCACCGTCTCATTTAAAAAAGGAGCCCATTTGTTGACGACAAGCATAGGAACACAGTCAACACACTCTGTCAGTAACGTGTCTAACCCTAATCTACAGCCAAGTCTGGTGAAAGTAAGGGGCACTAGACGCTTAGGTTCTTCCGGAACCTGCCCTTCAGTTGATAGCAACACTCCTCCGATCCTGTGATAGAATGAAGTATTTTTTGTGATTTCTTTGGGGTTTAGATTAAAATGTCTCCGAAGCAGTTGGAATTGCTTTGATGTACTGGGGCATGATGGAACAGGTTAAAACACCCACTAGGAGGCAGACATCTATTTAACCAAAATATGAAATAGGCCTGTGTCGGTTCATGGCATACTTGTATACTTACAATTTCAGGTCTTGGAGATCAGAGTTTTTAAAGTTGAGGGTCACATCGGCAAATTTACTCACCACGATCCCTATTAGACTTACTAAAAGCCACTGTCGCACCATCTAAAAAAAATTAGATTTGCATATTTTAGATAATGAACTTTAAAAATGCAAATATTTGATGATAGCAAAATAAAATTCGGCCAATAGCAAGCTGTATTGACTATTGAACGACTACAACAACGAATTGGCATGTGCGCGTAATGGCATCTGTTAAAAACGTTCCAGTAATAGGTTGTACCATAGTAATAGGTAGTTGGTGCTGCCAAAAGTCAGGGCGTGTAAGTTGTAAACAGGGCTATTAGGCAACATAGCAGAGTGCATCCTGTTGTCGGGAGCATGTTGTCGGGAACTTGGCAGAAAATCAAAGAGGTGGGAAGCCTTATAAGTTGCTCGCTAACTAACCTGGTCTACTTCAGTCGTATTTAGGTTTTGTACATCTGTAGTATGACAGATTTCAAAACATACGTAAACAAGAATTCTGAGTCCCGGTAGTTGGTGGGTAGCAGTTTATGACGTGTTATGACGTGTTATGACGTGTTATGATGTGTTATGACGTGCTATGACGTGCTATGACGTGTTATGACGTGTTATGACGTAAAGTCAGAACAGATTATGAAGGTTTTGTTAGAGTGGGATGCCATACTTAATACTGCAACTGTAATATCTGGTAAAGTTACTGTTCATGTTCGGATTACACTTTGAAGGAGAAAATTATAGCGTTTATAAATATTGCCCTGTTTATATTCATAACGCAGACAGTGATGAAATGGACTCACTGTGACCACAGTGGTTTATAAAGTTAAACTGTAATATTAGTGAAATCCTACCACTATACCACTACTACTATATACCTACTATTATACCACAGGTATAGTAAACTGTAAATGTCATATTCTGGGGGTCCTTTCCGAAACGGTACTTAAGTCAAAAATGGTACTTAAGTAAAAAGTTAAACAAAAAGTATTTTTGAAATGAGACTTAAGTGCAAAAACTTAAGCCATATATCGCACTTAAGTATTTTTACTTACCTTACTCGGGAATATTATGACTGGGATAAAGTGGTGGGTTTTGGAAAATTCCGCCATATTTTTCCCGGTCATTAATTTTCCCAGTCATAAATTAACCCGCTATAATGTTCCCGAGTAAGGTAAACTAATAGTAATACATTTTGATGCTTGGTGGGTTTTGGAAAATTCCGCCATATTTTTCCCAGTCATTAATTTTCCCAGTCATAAATTAACCCGCTATAATATTCCCGAGTAAGGTAAGTAGGGAATTTTACCTAAGTATGTACTTAAGTGCGGTATTTTTCACTTAAAATGTCAGTATGGTCTAGACTCTAGAGGTTACTTAAGTGCCTAAATTGTAACTCTAACTCAAAATATTAAAAAGGCCTCCCCCAGCCTCGGATCTTAGGATTAGATTTGCAAAAATTCCTGAGACACCGGTACAAAAGTTAAGACAGCAGAATAATCCTAAGACAGCAGAATAATCCTAAGACAAAATTTAAGCAATTCTGAGACAGCGAAAAATCCTGAGACAAAATTTAAGAAATCCCGAGACAGCGAAAAAACCTGAGACAAAATTTAAGAAATCCCGAGACAGCGAAAACACTGAGTCAATTGATCTCAGTGTAATAACATGGGGTTAATTGTCGGGGGGTTAATTGTCGTACTAAGCCCTAGATTGTACCTGCTAATGAGGTGAATATCCCAGATCATAGCTTTACAGGTAGCTAGGCCTGTATAATAGAACCCTGATGTTAAAGCGGACATCACCTTCCCCTCCCTAATATCTGATTAAAAGATTCCTTTCTTAATGTACGAATAAGAAAACAAGAATTTTTACTAGTACTATCTTTGTATCTTTAATACACTATCTACTTATTGACTAGCTAGGCTTGCTAAAATTCATCGGCAAATTACCGCTGCTCGAGTTACCTAGCCAGGCCCATTTCAGTTTGAGTACTGGAGTCGGTTATCTACAAAGTAGAGTCAAAGCCTAGCTTTTTTGTTACTGGCAAGTGCTTTTCCGGATTCAATTTTCAAATAGTCGTGTATTTCGTCGATTTCCGATATTTTCAGATTATTCTTCATTATGTCCTCAATCCTGAGCACTGGGACTACTTAAGTTTTTGCTACTATCTGAATTATTTGCTCAAGCTACTGCCACTGGCTCGCTAGGTACAAAGGTTTATTTCCTATTTATCATGAAAAAAATTGTGTGCTGGGCAAAAGTTTACTTGGTGATCGCGCAGGTTTGAACCCCCTACCTCGTTCAAACAAGCCAATTGCCTAGCCGCTAAGCTACTCAGGTGATGCTCTTATAAAATTTTCGATGCTGATATTTAATCACATACAATCCTCTATTTTGAGTTTGTCATAATTGTAATCGGGAAGCAGGCACGTAGCCAGGGGGGGGGGGGGGGGGCTAGGGGGGCGGCAGCCCCCCCCGGAAAAAATCGAACCCCAGAAAAAAGATAAGCCCCCTAGTCCCCATGGTCGCCTGGTAACTGGGCTGTGTTTATGACTGCAGTCAGTCAAAGATTTGAACTGTGGATTAGTAAATATATGTCATTAAATCCAAGCAAACATTCTAGAAGACTTCTATAATTATAGTCAATAGTGTCCCCTAGACCGTAGGAAATGTAAAAATCTTAAGACGATGAGGCCTGAGTAAGTCGTAAATTCTGATTGGAGAATGCAGATTGCTGTTGTGAAGTTACCAAATTTACGTGAGTACTTGATTCTTTTCAATCCCAGTTTATTGCTGTCCTACAAATTTCTTTAATGCCAAATGTCGTCTAAAACACCCTGTTTCGAAAAAAATTTCCGGGGGGCTGCGCCCCCCTAGCCCCCGCCAAGGGGCTCCGCCCCTGGACCCCGCTGGGGGCTGCGCCCCCAGACCCCTGCCACAGCTTGCTCGCTTCGCTCGCTGCGCAGCTTGATTGGACGCATCGGCTCGCTTCGCTCGCCGACAGCCCCCCTCAAAGAAAAATCCTGGCTACGTCCCTGTCGGGAAGTGGGAACATTAACAACTCTTCTGCATGTAATTGAAACTGTCTGTACTGTGTACACGATAAAACACATGAGATAAATACAAAGATTGTGTACACTACTGTGCTGATATGGAAAACCCAACTAGACTATATATCTTCAGAGTTTCAGGATCATTCTCACATATACTCATAGTTAATAGTTAATAGCACTATGTTTACAGTATGCACTGAAGGGGTATCCTAGGAAGTTTCTTGAACTTTTAACAGGTACCCATCCTCATTTAACCCTCAATTAACTTTCCTATCATTCGGCTGATTTGATCGAGGAGATCGCATAGATCCAATGGATCCTTAGCTACTCCCTAGACTAGGTGACACTGGGATTCGAACTCATATACCTGGATTGACGAGTAATCCAGTACAGTAGGGAGTAAAACGAGAGACTAGTTGTCGTTGTAACTTATTAGAAAGTTAACTTCGTAGCTTTTCAGAAGGGGCATAAGGAGGGAGGGGGATGATGTCCGCTATAACATCGGGGCCCCCATTATACAGTCCTACCTGTAAATATATGATCTAGGATACTCACTTCATTAGCAGGCACATAGAGATTTCAGACAAATTC